AAGGAGGGATTGAAGGAACCAATTTTAAAAATTGGTATTTAAGAAAACAAATGTATTTCACTGTCTGCAGGACAAGTGTACCAAAAAACCAGAAGAATCCCATGCAGACAGAACTTCAACGCTCATCACAACAAAACTCCAAGTGTGTTGATACAGTTGCTCAGCCTTCTCATCTACCTGAGGTAACACATAATGCAGCTAAATTAAGAGACTAACTTTGGACCTGGATCAATGGTTCTCCTTCAAAAATCTGACTTTTAGGGATAAATCCCACTTTTAGTTAGATGAATCGCTTAAAAATAAAGAAAAACCTAGCTTGACTATGCTCTTTAGTATTAATAAACATGCAAACTTACACAGCTCTTCTAGAATTTGTTGTTATTATGCATAGAAGAGACTTGTCAAAGTTATTACTGAGCACTGTTGGACTGTAAAATTGAACAGCTTCATAGAGCTGAATTTTCAGCCAGCAATGATGTCCTGCATCTCTTGACAACAACCTGCCTTTGTTCCCCAGCCTCCTGCCATTAATGTTCTATGCAAATTAAACTAGTCTTCTGAAGAGCAACTGAATAAAGTGTCAATTATTGGCTTGCGGGGTTCCTTTGTTGTTCTGAGTTCCTTGGTGGCTGGGGGTTTCTGGTCACTTTAAGGGGGTTTGGTGGGGTTTGTGGATTGATGATTTTGGTTTGGTTGTTAAGATTTCTGGAACCGTGCCTAGAGCACAGACACTTCTGGAAGCAGATAGAGATATATTGCATATATCCATGACTGGATACTTCTCCTCTTTGGCTGGTTTCTTGTCTGTTTGTAGAACAAAGGAATATATTACACTGGCAGCTGGTAAGGTGAAGAGACTAATCTTCTATGCCCTGCAGACCTGTGTTGCTCTCCTCATACAGACAGGCCTTGATGTGCCTCTTCTTTCACCACAATTAACCCTATCAAAGCTACTATGTAGTAATCCTTTCCCAGACACTAACCAGAATTTCAGCTTGGATGTAGCTAGGATCCAAAACAACTACAAAATATTCCATTTTTAAAAAAAAAAGGCACTTTGGTTATTAAAGTTTGTCTTCAGTGGGAGGATTCTTTTCATGGATTTAATACAATGAACATTTCAGGTTCCAGACTGACTTTGGTGCAATGCCACAAGAAACAGATTTCTGATTCTCACTGGACATTTTGCTGTGCACAATAAAAATATACAGTGTCTAATACAGATGCTCTATAAATACATCCAGAAACTGATCCAACCAAGTTGTCCCTGTTCTAGTGACACCACTGCAGTAATTTGGAATGCATTCTTAGGATATTACGAATGCTTGGCAATACAGATATGATTGTGGCCATGGGCACAATATGAACCGTATTCTCAGGATAGCAGGGGTACCTATCTTTTTCCCCAGCTTGCTATGGAAGACAGACTGTTTCACCTGCTTTTTGTCTTGTTTTGGCAAATGAAAATATGAAAGGGGGTGGAATGAACATTAGAGATCATCTAACCCCAACCCCCTGCCCTGGGCAGGGACACCTCCCACCAGAACAGGCTGATCAAGGCCACATCCAACCTGGCTGTGAACACTGCCAGGGCTGGGGCAGCAACAGCCTCCCTGGGCAACCTGTGCCAGTGTCTCACCACCCTCACAGGAAAAAACTTCTTCCTGATATCTAATCTAAATTTCTCCTTTTTCAATTTATAGCCATTACTCCTTGCCTTATCACTACAGCTCCTAACAAAGAGTGACACAGTGTATTTTGTTACTGGTACAGCCTAATTAACGGACTTTTTAGACATGTCTATAGCTCTATGTAATGTGACTTCAGGCATGTGCTTCCATCACAGAGCTCAAAACTAACTGGCATTTAAAGATATCTTTGAAGTTACAAGGAATCACTAATGCAGAACTGGATTGGTGGTGCAGCTGTTTAAGGAGTCAAATGGCTGAATTCTGGTTTACTTAGAATTTCTCTCCTTCCCCTCAAAGGCTGCAGAGCAGAATTAATTTCAAGATGAGAACCCTGGAAAGAGCATACAACTCCATAAACTCTTCAGAAAAGAAGTAAAAAGCTTCTATAATCACAGAACATATCTGAGCTGTATGGCATGCTCTGTTCTCTCAAGAATTTAATTTATTTGAAGTTCCCTGGCATGTCACAAAGATGTTTGATGGCAAAGACCCAAGAAACTAATTTCCTAAGTGACAAATTTAATTTTAACTCAACCTAGTACTGCTCAGAACTCTCCTACTTCTCTCCATATCCCAAAATAAATATTACCCAACGCTGCTGGAACTTCCCCTCTGCCCTGCAGTGAGCAGACAGTGGCACCTGCTGACTGAGGGTGAACACAACAGCAGCAAAGGAAGACAGAACATTTCCCTTCTGAAGTGCAAACTAACATCCTGAGAACCAAAAAATGCAAAAAGTATTCTTATAAGTATGCTACAACAAAAAGGCAATGTGTATTTTCCTTGCAGTAAAGACAAATAAATAAATAAAAATCCCTCCAAATAGATAGTGAAGGACAAGTGGCAAGATTAGTTTCTGGTTTTACCGTAAGACAACTGTGAATTACTTTCTTTTATTTAAATGAAAACCAAAGTCTCTGGTCATTTTTTTCCTATTGATTTTCCTGCACTCTCAAATGACCCTAAATACATAGAGACATTAAATCAAAAGAGTCACATTAAAAATTACAGGCTACATGCAAAATTAAAAGCATCACAACCTTTAAGGATTTACCTTTCTTAGTTTTATAGCTTCTTCTACTCTTACTAAAAAAAAAAATTTCATCCACCCTCACACTCCCCTCATTACCTTGAAATACTCTTTTCTAATTTGTTTACTTCTCCTCCTTTCTTCATTCTGCCAGATCACTGGCTGTGTTTCTGGCCAATGCTGCTCATCCACGGAATCCTTCTGGTTTTCCAGTGGCTAGAAGGTTTAGAAATATTTTTACGTAAAAGGTAAATACACCTCCGATGTATAAGAACCACACCAATTAATTGTTTGCCTCTCTCAATCTAGCTTTAGGACCTGAAAGTGTTACCAGTCTTAATGGTAACACCAGTAGAAATCACTTATTTCTTTTCAAATTCTAAAACATATTTCATAGAAGAAAAATAAGCTATTAAGTAATTCTTCAGAAAATAACACCCTTTTCTCGCACTGAGTCTAATTTTTGCAGGTAGGTTAGGAAGCCACCTGAGGTTGTCAAAAATCACTTCAAATTACCAGTTTCAAGGGTGGTTAGGCACTTGTGTATCTAATTTCTCAATCTGACCACGCAGTGCACACGGAAAGGATGGCTACAAGACAACTAAGGTATTTGTCTGCTGTTCCTAAAGCTAAACTAGATTGACACTTAAAATAATAATGAATACATATGACTGTCTACTTTATGAAAACTGGAAGCAACCTGAAGGGACTAAATGGCTATAACAACATTTCCAACTGTTTCTTCTAATTAGAATATAAAGGCATTTAAAGCAATTGCAAGTAAGTGATAGATTAAAATCTAATATAATAAAAAAGTACTCCCTGCAGTTTAATTTCAACTTGATCATATCATGCCATTCTCATTGAGGTCTGGAGAATCACTGGCCTACAAAATTCAACCCATTTAAAAGTTACATCAAACCCTGAAACATTATGGTGAGGCAATATAGGGAAACAAATACTAAACCCAAGGAAGTAAAACTTATGTCTCATTAGTTTCAAGACCTTAAAGCTAGTACCATTTGCTATTTAAAAGGTCTCCATTACATACAAGTCAAATTACCCTCACACACAAGTTCTTCATAGGTTTGATATTTTCCACCACAAATACTCTACTTCCCATAACTACGTGTGTAAGATACCATACGAATGCAGTAAAGGTTTTTGCCATAAAGGCAAAACCAAGAAAACAAATCAAAAATCACTGAAATATAAAGCCACCACATTTATATGTGAATATTACCATTTGAATTTGAGTATTTACCTGCCAGCTGTATGGCGACACTGGGGAATTCCCTTCATTTGTGGAGACACTAAAAATTAAGATGAGAGGCATTAGGAAATGCACTACTTTTTGTGTACTTTCAAACCAAGTTACTTTAAATTATCAAAAAATGAACACTTAAAAAGTAGCTTCTCTGCAGCGCTACAGTATTTTTTGGCTACCTGTATAAAGACGTCACGATGTGGCTTAAAAATAACCACTTGACAGAAACATCAAGTCATATTTTACTCTCCTTCACTATAAGTTGACAATAAGCCTTTCACATTACAGTACAAAGCTTCTTCTTAAGCATGTTGATCTTTAGGGATTACTAATGCACCTTCATTGTTTTATTTCTCAAAGCCACCAGTGACACACTTTGTTCAAAGCTGCCAAAAGACCTATTCTTAAATGTTTGGAAGCTTCACATGTTTCATTTCACTGTTAGCTCTACATGATAAAGTAAAAGTTTGTACTAATAAAGTAGGGAAAAACATTTTCAAATGGGACAGTGCTACAGCAGAATCTCAAAAAAACACACTTTGGAATATGGAATTGCTTCTTCTTGGGAAAATAAAAATGCGTAGATATAATACCTTCAAATTATTCTTCTAAATCTTTCTGTGAAATTCACTTCTATCATCCTACCAAGCAACCATGTCATTCCCATTCTGTCAGCTGGCTTAGAAACTGGGCAGGACACAGAAGGGCAAACATCTGGGGATTGAATGCAAGCAGGGCATAACACAAGGAGCAATTATAATGTATCCTAAAGGGAAAAGCAATTGCCACTTATTTTCTGCTACTCTGTTCCTTTTTCCTTTCTGTTTGCCCTAACCCATTAATGCTACTTTTAAAGCTGACGGCCATTGAAACTTTGCCTGCATCATATCCAATGGCTTGATAAGCAGTTCAGTTGGAATTGCACCAACTGTTGGAATAAATGATAGTTTTGCTGTTGATAAATATTTACGAACTATGATATGTTGTATAAGTGTGAATACTTGAGAGAGATGACAGTTCCTAGTCTCTTTCCATGTTTCCTACACAGTGTGTGATTTGGGTTCCCATACAGCAGTGCAATAAAACAGTAGCCTGTAGCATTTACCTTACCTCATGTGCACAACACAAAATTAAGGGGATGACTGGGATTTTTTGGTGGTTATTTTGGTTTTAAGTCTCAGAACTCTTTGCTTCATTAACCAGGAAAAAGCAAATTGCACCTTTCCTGGATTACTCTATGATAAAAAGACCTAACATAGCCGTACACTTCTCAAAATAGGTGACTGCATGACTCTATGATAAAAAGACCTAACATAGCTGTACACTTCTCACAATAGGTGACAGCATCTCAAAAAGAAGAAGCTGTATGTTAAGTAAGCAAGGACTGGAAAGTTCCGAAGAACATGAGTCATATAATCACAGGACACGTGTGCAAACAGCTCTTGAAAACCACAGGTACCAGTGAGGGAGAAAATAGCTAAAATAGGATGTATCACACTGAAGGATCTATACTGTACAAGATGCTTTCTGGATGAAAACTCAACTGCAGAGAGCTGCTGCCACCCCAGTACTCTACAGCAGCACCACCAGCAGTTACAGCTTTTGTCTCCAAGTTTCGCAGCCAAAGGGGGTCTGGACACAAGCAGACACAGGTTCTTTGGAAGGCAGAGATTTTAGGAGACTATGAGGCTTGTAAAAATCACCATAGCCACCTTTTGAATGGGGTTCTCATTAGGAGGCTGCCAGTCAGCAGCTTAAAAACTGAAATAGATAATTTCTTGACCAAATTGATTAAAAGAACTCACCTAGCATTCTTTAGGGAGGAAAATAGGAAGCTGTGATTTCCCAGTTTCCTAAAGACAAGGCTTTGGGTATTTTTGTTTGTTGATGGTTAGTGGAAGGGTTGGTTTTATGTGGCTTTTGTATTGGTTTGGGTTTTTTTAAAATTGAAAGAAAAAGCATAAAAGTGCAGCTCCCACAGGCAACTGATTCCTCACTGACACATGCTCCACAAACAATAAAGGTTTTGCAGGCTGAACTCTGAGCAACACTTCGACAGCTCTAAAGAGCACAAAAGCACTGCCAAGGAGGAACATTTAGATGTCTAGGCACAGCTCCAGTGCCATCTTGTGTAACACAGGGTCTAACACAGCTATGTCACTGGTGGGAGCAGATACAACTGCACTGGAACTGCATGTCTAGGACATAAATGAAGGCCTATCTTTAGGTACTTGAACTTTTCCATAATCAGCAGCATAATCAGACCTACAGCTGGGTTCCTGGTTGAGACCACCTTTTCTAAAGAGTCAAAAGAACAGATTTTCTTTCAATCTGAAAGAAATAAGCTCAAGAATAATTATTCTTGTGGCCTGAATTTCATCCTAGCTAAAAAGATGACAGAAGATGGCAGTAGCAACACAATAAAGATACAAATTAAATTAATAAACTACTGAAAGCTGTGATACACTGAAGTATATCAATACCATTTTTCAGACTCCATTGGCTGCTTTGGCCTGTTCCTTGTGTTTACTGAAACTGAATGATTGAGAAGCCTAGAAAGAAAAAAATACATATTTAAAACATTTTTGTACAATATGTTACTTACACTGCATAACATTTCCTGTGAATAAAAGTTTTGAACATTAAGAGACATCTTCCATAAAACTAACATATGTGTGTACACACATGAAATCCAAGCCCAATCCTGCTTTGATTTAAATCAATATTGTCTCCAGCACTTGAACTATTTCAAGTTCTGAATTTTAAGGAAGCAAAATTCAATGATAATTCAAAGCAAGATGAACTCTCCTCTTATTTTCCCCCCTAAATACTATTTCCACTGTGTAAAGTTATAGTGCCCTTGACCCAAAAGACCCTACTGCTCACTAAAAGCAGAAGACAAAAGAGTCAACCCGAAGCAGACCAGAAAGGCTACACAGACTGAGCACAGCAAAGTCAGTCAGTAGGAGCAGGTGAGAAGATAACTGAGAAGAAACACTGCAAGTGCAAAGGAAACACAGGGAAAAAGGAGAGGTGGAAAAATCGAGAAACACGAGCTAAGAACTCAACCAAAAGTCTAATGCAGAAGTGAACCAATGGAAATTGTATTTTTCTAAACAGTAAACAGGCAAGAAAACTCGAAAATTGGAGACTCAGAAATGGTTTTTCATCTGGAACAAACACTACACATGCACACAGGAAGATGATATGAGCTATTATGGATGCTTCAAGTGCTAAAAATAAAGCAGTCAGCAACACTTAAAGGTTTGCAAGGAAGTGTCATGGTCAACAGTGACTTGAAGCAAACGTTCAGAATTCTTGCAGGTAGGAATACTGCACTTGAACACTGACATCATGTGCAGGGCTGTGATCAAAGGATATTTATATAGAATTATATAGAGAACTAGAATGCAATAATAATCAGAGAGAATAAGAACAAAGCCAACTATTCAATGGAAGTAGAAAAACAACAGGCACCTTTTTATCGTTCATTACCATTCCATAGGGCACTTACAGCCACTAACTGGAAATGATTGATGATTTTCCAATCAAACCTCTCCGATTATTGGGCTAACTTTGAGCTCCCTAATCTCATTTGCAGGTTAAATCTCTCATTGTGTGACCCTCAATTTAATGGGATTATGAGAATCTAAACCTGTAAAGCAAGTCTGCTGCATTCCATCTGCAGCATCTGTTTTGTCTTCAGAAACTTAGTTTTGAGGATGCACTGCAGAATTAAATTATTTCAGGCTCTAGCATGAAGATGTTACAAAAAATAATATTCAGAGCAAAGGTTATCAAAGCAGAATAGAAACATCTATTCTAAAGCCATGAATTTTTAGAGAAAATGCCTATTAAAACCAGTTTTATGTCTTCAGCTGAAAGCCATGAGAACTTCAGACTTTAAATTTGAAAAAAAAAAGAAATTTGACTCAATTTGATGCAACATTTACACCAAAACTGACTGACTAACAAAGGCCATTCCTTTTTTCAACTCATTATATGAAATGTAAGGAAAGACTATTCAAGCTAATTCAAATATATCCACACTTTTTAGCTACACCATTTCTAAGCAAATAAATCATTAATACTTGAGTTTATTATGAACTAGGTTTATTACAAAGAATAATTTTAGACTTTCTAAACCAAAGCCAATAATCTTTGAAACTTCCTGCTTAAAAACCTCAGAATATTGATGGGGAAGTAACATCGTATGTGACGTTACTAGCACAGTCAGAGAAATCTCAGTTTCCTGTTCAATAATGAACTTGAAAGCTTTTACTTAAAGCAACTAGTGAAGAAAACGAATGTTCACTTACTAAATTGTGGACAATTGGCAAAATAATTTGTTCAGCTGGAAGAGGGGGGGAGGAATCACTGCAGGCATTTAAATACTGTCCTCCAGGAAATACAATGCAAAACTGAGCACGTAAAATGAAAGTACAAGTAGGTCATGTTCAGAAGTTGTACTCAAGTGTAGTGTTGATGGGGCAAAGATCTCAGCAACCACTGTCACCTAGACTACAACTCATTAAATCCAAAACTTTTATTATACAGATCAATTATCAAGCCAAATCCTGATAGGCACAGTGACTGACTAAACAAGGACTTGCCTAAGACACCTGTGTTAGTCCTGCTGTTAATTTCCTACTTAGGATTCCTACAAACCATGCAGATCCTGTTGTTACAGAAGCAGCACTCAAACTAATCCTCTGAAAGGGTTCTAAATCTCACACAAATTAGTCTAAATTACTCACCAGCACATCCAGTGACAGATATTTATACATGTATTAAACACAAAGCCAACACTGTGACACATTTTACTAGTTCTATATTATGCAAATGCAACATCCGCTCCAAAGTTCTGAGCATGTAAGAAAGGTCATGGCAAGAGTGATTAGGATGCTGGAAAGTATTTTCTGAAGTTTGAGAATTTCAAAAGTGGAATCTCTTAGCAGTCACTTCTGCTTTCCTATTTAGAGCAAACATAACACCAGGATTAAGGGAAACAAATGAAGCAAATGATGGCAATGTTATCTGAGGTTAGCTATCTTCCACTTTAACCGAAAAATACTACCTAGAATCTATAAAGTGCATGAAGACACTAGAAATCTTATATAGTGAGACAAAAATGATTTATTTTCAACTCATCAGAAGCAGTCTGTCCTCACATCCAACTCTGCTTTGTGATGTAAGCTCTGCTCTTCAGGATTGAGACAGCTTTAAGAAGTCACTGCTGTCAGGTAAGAACCCAGACTTCATTTTGGTGCAAACTCCAACAGGCTCATTTGCTGCCAATGACAATTATTTAACCTAAGCTACACTACTTTATTGGGAAAAAGACAAGGAATATCCAGACTAAGTTACAGAGTTTCAACTGATAAGGTAACAAAGTCTGAAATGTCTTCATTCTGGATTTCATGTTACAGGTGAAGTTTGTGCACCTGCAAATGCTTTCCCCCACGGCTGTCAAATGCAAACCAAATGATCACTGCTCATGCTAACTTGAAAATGATCACTTTCAACCCAAGATATCAAACAAACAAAATGAAACCCCCAAACACTTTTGCCTGAAGTTCTATATTTCAGGTATTTTTTTAAACATCTAAGCTTTTAGGTTTGGACTCAGAGTGTTTTTGCAGTTACCTAATTAATTACTTCTCTTAAACAGTATTTTATCCTAAAGAACCAAAAAGGCATTGCAAACTCTTTTTGATAACAAAACATCTCGGGCTCACTTAGCCAATGCCTTCAGTCTGTTTTTGTTCAAGAAATGGCCAAAACTGTTGCTTTTGTGCACATTTTAGCTTGGAAATCTGAGGCTCTACAAACACTCTATACCTTGATGCACGTCCTGCAGCCCTTGTCCTCTGGAAGAGTTTTTCACTGAATGAAGTTCTATAGCTTAATGGCCTTCGTCTGTGTTCACATTTCATGGACACCAAAGCCAAAGACGGAAGGAGGAAGCAGGATAGGTTGATGGGAGAGGACAGGGAAGTCATTAGCATAGCAAGCACAAAGAAAGAAGACTGCATAATATTACAAAAGCACACACTGAACAAACAGAAATAGGATTTGTAAGGAATTATTTCATGATGCTTAGCTTTGCTGTGGATTCTGTTTACTGATCGAACATATTTTCCACAAAGACACAGAAATATCTTCACTAAATTCTAAATATTATTCTTATTGCTGATGAAAAACCCATGGATTCAAAAGCAGGGCAACCTTTGACATCAGAGGTGATTTTGCCCTTGTGTACTTAAAGATATATAACCAATCTTGAAAATATAAATGCTAAACTAAGAAGTAAAATTTAACAGCTAGTAAGATTTGCATATGTCTGCACCACTCAGGACAAGGCAGAACCATTAGCAACATCACTGCATTAAGGTACTACAACATGAGTAAACTTGACACTGCAGTACTTCAGAAGAGGAGTGGCTTGGGGTTTCAAACAATTAGGGAACCATACTTAACAAAACAAGACCCGCACGCAACATAAATAACCATCATATAAAAACCTAACATAAGAAAAACACACTCATTCTCTCTTATGTGATAAATTAATATGAAAAGATTTAGCAACCTTGCTCTTATTTGCAAGACTTTCGGTAATATATTAGCATGACGATTTCATTCTTATTTTTCCCTTCTCAATGTGAAAAACCAATTGTTGAATGCAAGGCATGGGGTACAAGTAAAACCTACTTTATCTTTTACACACACACACACACACACACACTACTGTTACTATATTTACCTAATTATTAACTGTGACTATATTTATCTAATATAAAATGCTGGTGAATTTTTAAAGCCCTGCAATTCATAGTATGAGGAGATCAGTTTCTCTGAGGGCTTCATGTGGATTTCAACTATTTTCAAAGAAAACAGGCAGTGCAGAACCTCATAATTATACAGAAATTCAAAAGAAACAAAAGTAGCATTTAAGCTGGTATGAAGTTAAATCCATTACTGTCATATCATGAATGACTGTTAGAACTATTTTAGTTAATGAACTACTATTAACTACAACTTTTACCTCTCAGAACAGAGCTTACCCTCAAAATACCTCACAGCATATGCCTGCCTGGTAAAGGAACCACACAGAACACTGTTTCAACCCTACCCTGTCCACATCCAATGGAACTCCAAGTATTCCTTCCTGTTCTTCATTTTCTAGTTAACTTATTTTATTACATTTCTTTAATCTGCCACTTGTTCTACAGCTCCTTTTCAAGAATCCTTGTTGAAATGTCCAACATGAAGCAGAGAAAGGCAGTTTGGATATTTATAATCCATACATACTGGCATTTGACAGAATAATGTTTGAACAAATCTCCCCTTCTGTCCGTGGGATAATTATAACTCTCATCAAATGGAGGAAGTACCATCTAAGTTAGCTTATATTTGAATAAAAATAAGCAGTCACAAACTGTTTGCAGGTTCTGAAATTCATACAGACTCAGAGAAGTTACTTTAACGTGTTATCCATGATGCACTTACATGAGCATTAACCAGGCCTACTTGAGAAGTAGCTTTAAAGGAAAAAAAAAAGGATAAAAAGTCTAAAAAAGTTAACATATACCAATTCAGGAAATCGAGAGACTCTTACATTCACCTCTTCCTCTCCGTAGGTTTATAGACAGCAATTTTATTAAAAGAAACACAGGACAGGTATCTTGACAGAGTCTGATATCAGTGTTTGACATCTGGACAAAACTGTTCTCAAAACGAGATGACAAGAGCTTTTGGGTAGAAGAGAGGCTAATGAATAAATTAACTGCAACACAAGTTATCTTAACTAACTGCACAATACCTGTGTTTTTGTTCTTGCTGCAGCAACTGAGCTGCTATTTTTCTCAAGTCAGTCACTTCTTTGAGTTCATCATCATCTTCAGCCAGCAGCTGCTCTTTCTGAAGCCTGAGAAATTAAACATTAGTGACCTGCCTGACTTCAGGAAAGCAAGACAGAAATGGCTCATTATTGGACAAGAACTAGGCAGTGCTCCCCATAAGCTTATTTTCTGTCCAAGGGTAGTCAGAGTTCAACACATTTCTTTCCTCCACATGCAAAGAGCTTAAAAGAAAACCACTCTCACCCCTGCCACCACTAGTAAAACCTACCCCAAAATCATCAAGATTTACCTTTTTTCATCCCCCCAGTCTTCATTCTGTTCAATTTTCTGGGACTTCTCAGGATGTTTTCCCCGTTCCTTATACAGAAGGAAACAAACATCTTAGAAACTGTTCAACAAGTTTGATTTACTTTTTTAAATTCAAGACTCTCTTGTCAGTCTGTGGTACCTTGACATAGGACAGCAATGGGCCACTCTGCACATCTCCCTGCTCAGGAGGAGCTCCCTCATCAGCATTCGGGTCAATGTAGTCATATGCCTCCTGGTCTAGGGAGGATTTATGAAGAACCGAAAAGGTATTAAACAACAATATCTTGACCAAGTGTTACTCCTGAGAAAGTTAAGTGCTCATGAAACATCAGATAAAGATAAAACATAGCAATTGCATCTCCTTAAGCTAGAAACAATCTTATTTTTTTCTTTCTCTCTGGCGTTATTTGACATTATTACACTGTTTTCTAAAAATACAATGCCAACATGATCAGATCATTTTGTGCATTTTTCTGACCTAAACTAAGCACCTCTTATCCAAACTAACATATACACAACAGGTATTACCTTTCTGTGGATCAAGTTTACTTCCCATGACATGATTGTCATTCTTTAATGTCTGTTCCCTTGTTGATTCCGATATCTGGGAGTGAAGGCTGATTGTATCATCATCAGATGGCTGCAAAGACACTCACAGTTAGTACAGGACTGACATGGCAATTAGATTATTGTATGATTTGCTAAGAACTCACAATTCTGGTGCAACTAACACTATCATGAGGGATGGCTCCCAGGAGAGAGGAAAGAAGAGCTTTTAGTGACTGGGAAGGGAGTTTAAGAGAATCATAGTTTCAGGAGAGACAGTACATTATATATAGTATAATTAAGTATATACTCACAGTTCAGTACACAACACTGAAAGACAGTACTTTGTTCCAAGAGGCCCAGTCCAACCCCAGGCAATGGACTATGAAAACTGCACTTAGGTACTTTCTTGCCTAAAGCCTCTGACTCTTGTTGGACCACTGAAGAAAACAATTATCACTTCTAACAATCTGAGATTTTCTTGAAAAACATCAAGTGATACTCATTTTCCTACAGTTTTTCCACTAACAATCACTCTGCGTTTGCAGTAATTGAGTTTCACAAAAACTTTTGTTCTCCACTATTCAGCTTTGACATCAGTTATTAATAACAGCTCCTTAATGAAGAGTTCTACAAATACAGAGTTAACTTGAAAGGGTTTTTTCCTTGTTTTAAGCCTAACAGATCCTTCAGAAGGTAATTCAAATCTAAACAATGAGGATTACTAACATGTACAACACTCAAGTTTAGTCCTAATAAACTTCAGTTATCTTCAGTACATTTATTTCATTAATAAGAAAAGAAAGTCTCAAATAACTTTTGTTCTTTGTGTAGAAAATGGTGATTCATTTCACACACTAAAAGATCCAAACAATTCTTTAGGTGAGGAGCCAGTTTTCAAATGTTTGAAATTTGGACTGGAATCAAACCTAACCAGAGAAGTTAAGGAAATACATAAATACTAGCAAATAATTTGTGTCCGATACTGACAGTCCAATGCTCTAAACTCAACAGTGCAGATACTCAGGAGAACAGGAAATTCAACTTACTCAGGTATTTCTCAAATGATACAAAGCACAAAGGAAAGTTCTAAAAACCAGAAATTACAAATGCAGCAGTGAAAAATACTCACTTCTGTGGTGGACAACCTTTTATCCCCATTATCACTTCCAATGCCAGAGTCTGGTCCATGGTTTTTATTGGGATAAAAGTCCTCCATGCTACATTAAGAGAAACAGCACACAAAAAAACCCATATAAGAATGCAAGAATCAGTAGTTTCATTTCTCTAAAAGAAAAGAAACATCCTTTTCAAAACATGTTCTCTCTACTCATTTGCAGTTGCTGATACAGAATTTCTGCACAATGTCCCATGTGTAGAAAGCAAATTCTTCACCTCTTACATAAGTTGTGCAACGAAAGAGTATCACAGCAAAGTTCAAGTAGGTATGATCAATCCTGGTATTCTTTGTATCTTAGCAACTTTAGATTGTTCTATTTCATTCACAAATAAAAGTTTCCTCCACTAAACCCCAATTCCCTGAATTCTATTTGTAGACCTGGTTTCCTACTACTAACAAATATACATTCACCTGATACTGTCATATATAATGGTTTAGTCGTTATGTAGTATTATAATGGTTTATAACTCTGCCTGAATATCCATGAAATACTTCCTCCTTTCAAAGACAAAATCCCATGTGCTGAAGTACACAAGTACTCCTTTGTAAGACATTTTACTTGTAGGCCTTAAGTTTAACAGAGGCATTTCAGGAGCAGCTATGACTGAGGTTTTAAGGAGCAATTAGCAGCTATCTATGACCACTGTGGACTAATTCCCTATGGCATAGTTGACAGAGACCAAACCCATGGACTGAATCTGATAGTTTAGACTGGTTTGTTCATAACTTTCATTTTTCTTCAGCCTTGAACAGAGAGACACATGACATGAGAGTATTGTTCCCTATGTTATCCAATGGCAAACCAACTGATTGTAAATACAGATGCATTCCCATTTAATTATTCAGGAGGTTCTCAGTACAAAAGTACAACAAAATACTCTGCACATTTTGACCTCAACTAAATCTAATTTAAAAAAAAAAAAAAACACAGTGAAATACAGTGGGGTTTAAGTTCGTTTCCCTCAATCCATATGTGGGAGACACTTTCCATCCAACATACTAACATGGCATTTACGGTAACTTCTCATCTACTGTTCTGTTTAGGAAATAAACAGCTGAGATTTTCAATAAATAAATTTCAACTTCGGGCTTTTAAACATCTTTGTTCTGATTTCTAAATCTTTAGTGAGTACAATTAGCGTTTTTCATAGCAACTCAGATGAGCCAATGAGGCCTCCAGGAACAGAAAATAGACACTATGACTCCTAAATAAAGTACTGCAGTGACAGCTGTTATCTGCAATAAAGAGACCACTTAATAACAAATGCCAAAGTAAAATAAAACAAACCCCTCACCACTTACCTGTCTGTGAGTGGCTGGGAGGGGATTCTTTTCCCTAATGACGGAAGATCCAAGGAATCTGGTTTTTTATCTATTCTGAGGCAGGCCTGGATGCTGAGGAATTTAAATATATGTACTTTACCCTTTAAACAGATCTGTTGGGAAACAAGTGAACAAAAAACATCTTAACTACACAGCATGTCTGGAAAATACACTCCAAGAGATACTTTCCACACTCTGTTTGTGCCCACAGCTTATCACTAGGAGAAATATAGCTAAAAAAATGAGAACTTGATTGATATAACTCAGAGCAGCTTCCTCTAAGTTCCTAATGCAATTTGGGTACTAGAGTGCTTTAATACTAACCTGTGCTGGTGGTATCTGCATTGGGTTGTTATCCAAAAGTATAACTTGTAAGTGACGCAACTTTCTGTAACAAATGGGAATTTCTGTGATTTTATTACAGGAAAAATCCAGTTTTACCAAGGGAAGGTCTCCTAATTCTGTGTTTGGGGAAATAAACAAAGAAAAGAATCAGTTATCTTCTTAACACCTTACCTAATTTACCTCCATCAATGAAAAGAAGATGAGGAGCTTACCATCTGGCAACATATGGAGATTATTTCTTCTTATGTTCAATTCTCTAAGTGACTGCAATTTTCCTATCTGCTGGGGAAGAACCTGAAGTTCATTACAGCTAATATCCTAGGAAAGACAGAATGAATAAATCAAAAGAACACCTTAAATGAAATTACACAAAAGAATACTATCAAAACCCCTATAAAGCATAGTAGTAAATGAAAATAAATCCCAGCTCCCTTGGATGTTCCACAGAGAAGATGCACCATAACAGATCTCACTGTTTCTTCCCTATTTAATGACTGATGTTTCAGAAATTCAATTCAAGACGTTCCATCAGTGAATGGTGAAATACTGGGTTTGAGATGAAAACTGCAGCCTAGGAATCAGGAGTTCCTGCTATAGTTCCCATATCAGTCAAACACTTTTTGTGCTACTGCTGGCAAGTGACATTCTACTCCTCTTTGAAAAATTCCTTTTCCTTAGAAAACCTGGAACCAGCCCATAAAACTCCACATTTACAGAAAGCAGTAGCAGCTGCACCAACTTTTTGGCTACAAGCACCAGAGGGTGGCAAAGCTGCATCAAGTGAACACAGACTACAGCTATTTCTGACACTAATTTAACATTCATTTATGCAGGCCTGACTGATAAAACCATCGCATTGATAAAGACTCTTTCCAGCCATTTTTATTTCTAATTCAATACACTCCTGAGACTAGTTTCCTAGGTTAGATAACAGTGAGATGTATCTGTCTGATGAAAACATGGAAACCAATTTTCAAGGTAAGCTAGGTCAGTAACTAGTAGGCAGGCCTTAAGCCAGATGATTTCAGCCTCCTTCTCCACTACACACTTCTAGAGCATCAGCTTGGGCACTACCCATCTGCTTTTGGCATCCATGGTGTCTGCACACAGCAGGATGTCACAGAAAGCACAGGCTGCTTGGGATACACTGTCCTGGATCTATTGCGAGATCTTTGTCCACATCACCACAGTTGAGATGGGATTCCCTTCCTAAAAGCATCTTTTGAGCACATGGCTTAGTTATCAACCTTTTTTCAAAAAATATGTGTGTATACATCTCTACTTGTTTTTATGTTCTAAACCAACAGATCACAGGTAATTCTCTCTCCTTAATCTGCATTCTCAATTTTACAAGGTTGAGAAATAAGCCTCAAACCCCACAGCTGTAATCCTGACAAACACTCACTTCCTGGAAACAATAGCAGTGATCCCACCTTGAAGTCCTATGACATGGAAGTGAGCACAGAGAACTTCTCAAAGAGTAAACGATACGAGAAAAGCCTCACAAACATTCAGAATAACTCACAGTACTTGTAAGTGAAAATAGAATGTTGATTTATAGCTTAGAAATGAGGTTGTGTTAAAAGACTCTCCAGGGCATACACAGCTGCTGTGGAAACAGGATGAGGGTGCCTTGCAATCACCACAGAAATCATAGATACTAAAAATACTTAGTATTAATTAATTAAATAATTAACTAGATCTAGTGCAAGTCAGTGAATGACTGTGCACAGCTCTCCAAAACACAGAAGCTTAACACAGAGCAATGATCAGAAAATCTTAGAATATGAACAAAGTAAAGGATGACAAAGCACAAAACTCGAATATGTCATGGAATAAAACGATGTTGCACAGACACCTAATCTGGAACATGTTGTATTATTCCATTCACCCCAAAGTAAAGGAACAGCAGAAATGGGGGGGAAGACAACCCACAGCACAAGCCAAGAGTGACTGAAGGGCATAATTTATATCAGAGTACAGAGAGATGAACTCTTCAGCTGGAAAAAAGACTCCTGACAATATGTAAGAAAAATAAATAGAATTATCATTACTGTAAAGAAGGTAAACAGAACAATTCACCATTTTTAACAACACACAAGCAAAAGACTCATATGAAATCATCTGCAATGTGGGTTTTTTTATGAATCCCTTACGCTTTAGTTCACCCAACATCCTGCTCTGTGTTTAACCCCAGTTTTGAAACTACAAAATACTTCACCCATAATTTCAGCTCAAAACCCAATACAGGAAGTGAATTTAATTTTGCAGTTCCATGTTTTAAAAATACTCATTTATAATTTATTATACTGAAAATACACTGCTTAGAAATTTCTTTAGTACAAAAATTCACAATTTTACTTACCAACTCCATTAGATCTCTCAACTTCCCAATTTCTTCTGGAATGGAGACCAGTTTGTTATTACTGACAACCAGAACTTTCAGTGGAAGATCAAACAGGTATTTTGGCAACGTTGACAAAAGATTCCGACTTGCAAGAGAGAAAAAGCGACAAGCAACGCTGGATTATAATCTCCTTTTAAAACCTGACATGGAGTTTGAGGTGCACATTGGAAGACTTTGCTCCTACCACAGAAGACATTCTCCACCTATGACAATTTCATCTACATTTCAGCTATAATATCCAGCATTAATTCCTTAACAGATACAGCCTCAAATGTATGTGTATTTTAGCCCCCAGCTCACTTGATGAAAAGAACATGTACTAGGATAGAATCTAACACTGAAACATAGTGTTTTATGAAAATGAAATCTGTTAGAAGAAATAATGTTTGACTCTTGCTGTTACCTTCAGAAGGATCACCTGATTGTACAATCTACAAGACTAGAACTTTACACAAGGTTATTGCTTCTCCTGTGATGTCATCATGGCTGTCCTGAGCCATCACAAAAAGCCCTTAACACTTACTTATTATTTTGCTGAGCAATAGTCATGGTTTCATAGTTTGATACAGGGTTGGAATGGACCTTAGAGATCATCTAGTCCCAACCCTCTGCCCTGGGCAGGAACACCTCCCAACAGAACAGGCTGATCAAGGCTTTATCCAACCTGGCTTTGGACACTGCCAGGGTTGGGGCAGCCACAGCCTCCCTGGGCAACCTGTGCCAGTGTCTCACCACCCTCACAGGAAAAACCTTCTTCCTAACACCTAATCTAGATTTCCCCTCTTGCAATTTATCCCCATTACTCCTTGTCCTATCACTACAGTTCCTAACAGAGTCCCTCTCCAGCTTCCCCATAGCCCCTTCAGATCCTGGCAGGTTGCTATGAGGTCTCCACATAACCTCCTCTTCTCCAGGCTGAACAGCATCAACCTCCTCAGCCTGTCTCCATAGCAAAGGTGCTCAGTCTTCTTCTCAGCTTTGTGACCTCCTCTGGACCTGCTCCATCAGTTCCATGTCCTTATGTTGGGGACACCAGAACTGTGTGCAGTACTGCAGGTGGAGTCTCGCAAGAGCAGAAGGGCAGAATCACCTCCCTCAACCTGCTGCCCTCATTCCTTTGGATGCAATCCCACAGCCCACATGTTCCTGCACTGCCAACACAGCCCTCAGACATGAGCACAGAACTGAAGACAAAGCAATGTGGCAAGTGATGATCAGAAGATTTGGCTCTTGAAGTAACACGCAACACCTTGTTAGAAGTACAAACCATTTCTGTGAATGAAACACCATCAAAAGAGAAATGGGCTGAGCTGAAGAATGTTAGGACAAATTTCTTTCAGAAAATACTGCAGGTCTTTTTCATATTAATCCTCTTTAGCATTACCACGGAACACATCACTCTTGAATTATCAGTGTAACGACAGATATTTGCGCATTTTGAGACATAGTAGATTTTAGGGTTGTAAATAGCTCTTAACTGAGAAAACTGTTTTGGACTTGATACAGTCAATACAAGAATCAAGGAATATTACAGAAAACAGGGTTGGGAGTGTCTTTTAGATTCTCTCTCCTTCCAGAGCTCATTTCCATCTTCTGTTTTTGTGAGAACAATGTCTTCCAAGTTAAAAAAGAGCAATACAGCAGTGGATGTAAATAATGTGCAAAATGAGCACAGCCTTCTGGCCAGAGCAATTTACCCTCCTGAAAGGAACAAATCTTCACACCCATAGTTTGCAAACACTGTTTGCAGAACGTTGAAGCCGAAGAAAACTTAGCAAACTCAATGACCTGATGAAGGGGAATGGCAACTCCACAATGAGGCAAGTTATATAAAGACCACAAAGAAACGTTACTCACCTAATGTTAAGGTAGGTGAGCATTTGCAGGTTTTTAATAGATTCTGGAATGGATTTGATGCAGTTGTGATATAAATTTAAAGTTTCCAGTGGTGCAAAGAGCCAGACATCAGGAGGAATTTCTGAAAATCTGTTCTTTGAAAGATCTAGAAGAAAACAAAATTAAAAATAAATCCATTTTTAGTCAAAATTTTCCCTGCGATAAGAGGAGATGAAAGTCCCCACTGTTATTCTTGTCATGCTCCTAAAAATTAAGGTGTTGCAAGAAGTGTAAAATAATTCAGTTTTACCAGATGCTACTGCATATAATTAATACACAAAAGAGAATTAAAATACTCAGAGTCTTGCTTGATATGCAATTACAACAGAAAATAGAAGAATGACAGGAATTCAAAAACACATTTCCCACTACATAGTTACATTCACAATGACACTGAATATCAATCATGATTGTCCCTCGTCTAACAAGTCTTTGTTCTGTGCAATTCTTGGGCTTTTCCCCCTCCAATTCTAGGCACAACAGTACGACAGGGTACAAACTCCATGTTATTCTTCCTTTCTGACAGCTACATTAGAATCCAATGGAATTGTACAATATATCTGCAATGCTAAAGCCAAGTTTGCAAAAAACCTTTACAGACATATTTTGCTTAAGAACTACAATTCTCATCTAAAAATATTCTTTATTGCAAGCACAGCAACTGAGACATTCTCCAGCTACACATTTATAACTTAGCCAGAAAGAGAATAAAGTTGGCAAAACCAACACCATATGTATTTGTCTATAAAAATGAGGATGCAGTTTAGCCTAAAAGCTGGAAGAGGAGGTATCTTCAACAATGGAAACATAACACTTGAGCTCGAGTTATTTTGACAATGCATGACTGCAGTATGCAAATCTGCATGCAGAAGTTATCACAAACAGCACACTGTCAAAGCACAAGACATCTCTGATTGTATGAAACCTTGAAAAAGACCAGAAAATACCAATGAGATGTGACCCAAGAATCCTGAAAATGGCCAATTAAGTACCAAGACCTGTGTCATCGAAAGTGCACCAAACTACCTTAGAAGAAAGAGACATTTACTTGAGAACAAGTGCCTGCTCTTTTGAAAGGAACTCTGGTTCCCAACCCAAGATATCTCAGAAGGATGTGGTTTCTCAGAAACGCTGAACAAGCTCTTTCAACAAAGTAGCAATACAGATGCTTTGCTATTTCAGGCTTTAGTTCTCCATTTTTAACACTCACATGAAATAAGTGTGGTACTGCTTAGCTCCCATCACATTATCATTAGAACAAACATAGTTCTGAAAAAAAGTCTAGAAAGTGGCTGGACAAGTGGTTCAAAGTCAAAGAGAACCCAAGAACCTCAAGTGTAACTGCCAAAGCAGCAGCATTCCTCAATGCCAACACTGGAATCAATATTGTTTAGTCCCTTCCTCAACAACCTGGAAAACAGGATAGAATGTGCCCTCAGGAAGTGCACAGACAACACCAAGTTGGAGGGAGCAGAAAGGCAACTCCCATGCTGCAGGGATCAGATGCAGCCAGGGCCCTGGGCTGGCAGACACTCATCCAGTTTAATGCAGGCAAATGTAGAGACTTGCACCCTGAAAACAAAGCTAAACAGTGGCAGGTTATTAGTCGGACTTGATGATCCTAGAGGTCTCTTCCAGCCTTGATGATTCTATGATTCTACGAATGCCTTTTAAGACACTCTGGGACAAGAATTCCACTTTTCAATTATGAACCCAGAAGTCCTATTAGAATAGGAAATTACATCCCCTACCTGTCAATAATAATATCCAAAAGGTACATAAAGAGGTAGGAGATATTATGACTTCTCCCCCAAGCTATTTTTCATTCCATTATTGCAAAACAGTACTAGAATAGCCCCAGGGGTTCAGATTTTTCTAAAAAGAAAGATTCAAATGCCTATAGTTTTCCACAACAGTCTCACATTAAATGTACTTACAGCTTTTTAAATACAAGTAATGCTATTTTGATCCAAACTGAAATATTATTTCTACTCCAAAAATGTTTTCACAACAAGCAAAAAGTCTGAGATGATACTGTCTATTATGCTAAATAAAATGCAGATGTGAAGCTTATGCAATTTAGGTACTTATTGAAGGCTAATAACACAACAGATGACCAAGAAAATATGGTAAGAGAAAGGGCAGAAGCTTTTGGAATAGAGTGTTCCTCTATACACACGACAGACTTCATCTCAACTGAAATGAAAGCACACTTAAATTGAGAGTGGTTTTGTAAGGGTTAATAGACTGGAGAAGCAAGGAAAGCTGCTAAATGCAGAACTACAAATGATTTAAGATGACAACTCCTCTAGAAGTGAGATTATAGGAATCCTTTGCTTAACCAGCTTAGACTGGAAAACTCTCAGTGGGAGTGTTATGTGACTTCTAAATAGAAGACACTATCCATGCCTGCCCATGAATCACAGGGTATTTCAAAACACTATCTCTGCAGGAACAATCCAAGCGAGAAGCACACCATTACTAAGGTTAAATTTAAAAGGGGAACTAGAAAAACATGAAGTTGGTTGCAGCTTAGCTTCCTTTTGACAGGAAAAGCAAAGTCTTTACTGACTGTAAGACAACGATTAAAAGACAATATATTGAAAGATCAAAAGGAAAGAATTTTAGGAAATCAGTGAGTCTGGAAGGGAAGCTATTAGAAAGAAGAAGTTTGCTTGTATAAATTTAAACCATGATCAAAAGGAAAAGCAAGAAGCTCAAGCTGGCAGGTTACAGCAGTCTGCAGTAAGCTAGTTAAATAGCATTAACATCATGTTTGCCTTGTTTTTGCACTTTTCCCTAAGCATGCACTGCTGCTTACCATGAGAAGCTGCTAGCACTGACTGGCCTTTTATTTAAGCCCGTACAATCATTTTTATATTCACATTTCAAACACACTGCATGTTCCATTTGAAATATAAGGCTTAGCTCTGAAATTTACACTTGAACTTTATCTTGATATTTTAATACTCTTCATAAATATCTGTTGCTGACCCATGGTATTGGTGTTAGGCTTCCATTTGCTCAACTTGTTACTTAGAAACAAGATCAAAAAGAAAACAAACCCCACCCCACAAAACCCCAAACTGCTCTTCTAACTCCTCTCTCATACAGATTTCCCTAGCCAGCTTTTCTAGTCATGCTTTAGCCTAAACCAACCAAAGTCTAAGCCAAAAACATCAAAGCACAACTCTAACTATGTAATTAGTCCTACAGAAGCCAGTGGATGCATAAAAACAAGTGTTCAGACCTGATCCCAAAGGTACACTCTGAGCCAATCTAAACAACAAATCTGAGATCACCACACAGAACATTGATAAAATGTCTGCTAAACCCATTCACCTAAAAACCCCAGTGTGGATCCTGTGGGGACATGGTTTAATGGTGAACACAATGGTGCCAGGTTTGCAGTTCAATCTCATGACCTTAGAGGTCTTTTCCAACCTTAATGATTCTATTATTCTTTCCAAATTTTCAAGAACCTCAGGAGAAAGGAACTCTTAAGCTTCCCAAGCTCACCCCCAATGGGATGTTTCTCTAACATCCTTAGCATTTCCCTCAAACTCTTCACATCTACTTGCAGGTTCACAGTTCAAATCTTGACACATGACTAGTGTTGTTAAACACTAACGTTTCTAAATTTTCCTTTCAAAGGAACAAAATTAAGCTTGGCTAATTAAATATCAGAATGCTTCATATTTACTTAGGTTGTAAAATGATATATTGAACTGTTAAACACGTCCACAGGTAGAATGACTGTGCATACTGAAATAAACAGCAACCATTTCAGCTGCAAAACAGACCAAAGAACTTAGAACTTACTAGCAGAGAGTGTTCAAAAATTACATCATTTTTGCATGTAACTAAGTATTTCACATGCAAATTTCATTTGCTCTTCAACATTAAGAGCTCTGGTGAAGGGCTACACAGGACAAACTGAGCACCCATCAACTCTTCTGCACAGTAAGGAACTCTGCGACACCTGCCAGACACCTCTAGCTCACAGGAAAATAAATTGACCACAAATTGTCACAAGCAAAGCTACATACATTTAAAGCCTATTCTTATGTAGCAATATTTAACTTCATTTTTATCCACTGTGTATACTCATAAGTCAAATAAAAGCATAGTCTGTCTTCTGCTTAAAAGAAACAGTTTGTTAGGAAACTGTAGTGATAGGACAAGGAGCAATGGGGATAAATTGAAAGAGGGGAAATTTAGATTAGATATTAAGAAGTAGTTTTTCCCTGTGAGGGTGGTGAGAGACAGGCACAGGTTGCCCAGGGAGGTTGTGGCTGCTCCAACCCTGGCAGTGTTCAAAGCCAAGTTGGATAAAGCCTTGAGCAACCTGTTCTGGTGGGAGGTGTCCCTGCCCAGGGCAGGGGTTGGGACTAGATGATCTGCAAGGTCTGTTTGAACCCCTCAACATACTGTGATACTACTATGATACATCCTGTCAGACTGAACCACAGCTCTTTCACAGGAAGTACAAGTTTCTGTAACGGGTACAGACCAGCAGTTGCGTCCCAGACGTCTGCTGCTGAGAAAAAAGAACTGAGATCCAACACACTGGCTCTGAAATCAAGGCAGCCTTGTGAAACCCACTGTACCAACCCACCCTCATTGATCCCAGTCTACACTGGACACATCTAAACTGGCAGTTTGGATCAAGCAATTCTTGCTTTCCCTGTAAGACACCTCCACTCAGCACAGGTTAGCTCAGGCATGTGAGGATTTTCCTGAAATTTGTATCAATAGAAAACTCAACCAGAAGCTCTGCTCTAAAGGCTGGGACAACTGGGGGCATAGCTGTACTGACCTGCTGCACACCAATGATGGGATGAAACCAACAGGTGAATTTAGGTAATTCTTCACCATGTTACAACATCAGAAAGTCCCAGGCATGTCCAACACATGACAGGACACTGCTGTAGCTCTGGAGTGTGTTCAGCTATTTTAGAACAGCATGATTAAAACCAAAAATAAAGAACACATCAGCAGGATCACTCCTTAGATTGGCATAGGAAGGTGAAAATTCACACACTGTATCAAAAGGACATTACTCCATATCACGCATTATCTTCCTCTTCGCTGCTGAAG